ACTGTTACTTAACATGTTGCTAAATAATACTGCTATGATGATGTGTGTACAAATGTATAGTAGACTAGCAGAAAATCAACATGTACTATTATCTACTCTAATTAGAAGTTTGTGTGAACTGTAAATGAATTGGAAATAAGTGATAACTAACATGACTAATATAGAATTTCAATTATGTGTCCAGGAAAAATTATGTCTGATTAATACTGCATTCTTGTACATTATCATTAGGAGAATAATTGATGACCAACAACAAACCCGGCAATGAATAACCTTATATATTATAAATATAAAGAAATTTACTCACTGATAAATTCATTAAGTAGATCTACTTCGAGTCATAATCAAAGCTTATTATATTAATTTGTTAAGACAAAGCAACAAACCTAGACTTCATCTGTTCATAGTTTGTATAACAGGGCAGGCAGACAATGCAGTAAAATACTGACTTTAGTACAATATAACTTAAAGACATAGTAAACAAAATACTTATCTTTTGAAATTGTCTGACAAATGAAATGCTTCGGGCGGCGACCAAGCTGCTGTTCTTATCTCATGATTGAGGAGACGTAGCTGATCAGAGTAAACAGGTGGCATCCATCTGGTGTAAACAGGTAAATGTTGTTTAGACATGTCAACCATGAACCATTTATTCGCCATAAGAATGATCGTTTATGTTTGTTTTGGCATCTGTACAAAACTTGAACTGTTGAACAATGGTAACTTTCAGGACTCGTAAATAGTATGGTATCTACGAAATCTGTAATATGACGAGCAACGTTTTGTGGATAAATTCTGATTTGTAAATGTCATTAGTTCCAACAGTGTCCAAAGGCCGGCACAACTGTTTCCCGACTGATGATGTCTCAAACTTTCAAAGCTCCCAAAAAAATTTCTACAAAATTATGTCTGTGAAAATTAAAACCATATCGTAGATTACAATCGTTCTGTCTAAATTCCCGAGTCTCAAATGAGGTGAAATTTAGTAACGAATGTAGAAATGTTCCTTTGATAATAAATTGTATCCTGTTACGATATCCTGCCCGTGTTGCCGTGAAATGAATTGCCATTTTCGTCACGAAATTGAATATGAAACGGGGGACACCGTCCCTAAAAATTCGCTCCCAGCAGATTAATAAGATAACTGTTCATAGTAATACGTAATTAGTTCACTTTAAATAAAGCTTATGACTTCAAAAATAGATAAATTTTAGTAAACAGAAAGGCGAGAATCATTCCTCGCCAAAATTATTTCTTTGTGATAGATCTAATGTAATCATTGGTTAATTAACATCACATGATTTAAGTCTTGATATCGATTGGCTAAGACGTACTTGGCTAAAACCTGCCCCGTAACGGCTAAAAACCTGACCCGTAATATTCTGTACAGTAATGAGTATAGGGACAGAACAATGACATAAATTATTTTATGTGGGCATAAAATCTATTAAGTGCATTATGCCACTTTTTTTTCTGACGAAGTCCTTCTGTTATCATGACTTCCTGTAAAATTAACAGGGAAGGACTGAATATACGACGAATTTTCATTGGTCATTTTTAGATTACAAACAGAAATCGGTGAATTTCATTGGTCATTCTAAAAAAAAATGTAAAGGATAGTTATAAATAAAATGTAAGGGAAAGTTTTTGCCACTATTGAATAATCAAAGTGCTGCAGCACTGAATGCGACGGACATGCAACCGGAGAGACATTAAGGCTTCTTTTAGAAAACAAAAAACAAAAACAAAAAAAAACAACAAAACACAAAATATATAACAGAGAAAATTTGTTCCATACAAGTTCGAGATTTTTAGAGCAATATATTTTGTGTCCCAAATTGATATAATTCAGATTTTCTACTTTCAAGCACTTAAATACAGAATGAAATTTATGCCTTAAAACTCTGGTCAAACTTGTAAATCAGTGTCCTTATCGATTTATTCTAAGAAATGATATGTAAATAGAAAAACTATCCACGAAATATTTCTAGAATAAATCCAGGCAAATAAACTTCAAACATAATACATTATACATTTGAGAATGCTATTTAGAATTGCTTCGTGTTATATCATAGTGGGCATACAGACAATAAAATATAAGTCATTTGTATTTTTATTTCTCTTGGATATGTCTCATTAAAAAAAAATTGGTTAAAATCATCCGCAATTAATAGTGTATTTCTTAGATTTTTTTTATTTACAAGGTAAAGATGTAGAGGCCAGAGCACATCGTTTTTATTTTAATTTAAATGTCACTTAAGCACTACAGTGTTTAGTTGTCCTTTTCAACTTCACACTCAATTCCTTTTTCAACTTGTTTGCTTCTTACAATTGTATAGACTTTCTAAAAGTATTGCATGTAATCCGCTGGTTTATTAATTACATGTTTAATGTGTACTTCCTAATCGCCTGTCCAAAAATCAGAACAGGTGAAGCAGAATCTATTTTTAGAATAGCGAAGGTTAACTCATATCATGACCTAGTAAAATATGTAAACAAACCACAAGAATCGGAAGTAGAACTGATATTATAACTTCCTTACCATGAAAGACTACATGGCGGTAAAGTGTTGTAAAAACTCTCTTCTTACATGCATTTTCAAAAAATAGATATTTATACTAACCATTGTACTGTATCTAATATATTAATAACTGCTGAATATTCAGCTAAACCCGCGGTATGAGTCACGAAAATAGTTCTTCTTTTATTAATGCGCGAGTTATCCTAGAGTCACGAAAAACTTTTGATTTGTTAATAATAATGTTTTGTATAATGTAGAAATATTTATTTCCTACTAATAATGTCTTGGAACTCAGAGGTTACACCTTTATTGTAGTATAATTTGCTGTCCTACTTTTTCGACAGCGGTAAATCGTTTCAGCAGTAATTTGCATATTGCGCAATAATACTACGGGACTACAACGCTTTTATCAATAATATACGTTCATATTTTAACTTGGATATCTTAATTTGAAATTGAAAAGGCTAAATATGGAAGACATTAAGATATCCAGACAAAGTATGGGAGTTTTGAAGGATCAAATTCATGTACTATTTCTTGGGCTGTTAATTGGTTTAGGACACATTGCGCGATTGTAGCCAACGAAATCCCATGTGTAGATGACTTAGCTCTGAACGCGCCTGAGGGCGCGTCCGTCGCAAAAAGTAATGGTTATTTTTAAAATAAATGTACAGGAATGAGGAGAGCTCTATAACTTTAGGTTAATTTGAAAATGATTACAAAATTTATAAAGCAAAACGTAAAACAAGTGAAATAGGAATTGTATATATATATATTGAGTATCTTTTTCGGGCGAAGTCCGTCTGTTACAAAATGTATCGGTTTGACTTTCTGGAAAATAAACAGGGAAGGACTGATCTAACCAGCTAGAGTCCGAAAAATATGTAAAGGATATTTCTTACCATTCTAAAATAAAATTTTTAAGATATACTATGCTCACATTTCATATTTTTAGATATTGATAATTGCTACAAAGTCTCTTTGTAGATATAGAATTAACATGTTTTGATTACACATGTACAGAAAGTAGATTATCTTTTTTTTAACTCTACACACTAAAGGTGGACACAATAAGATTATATAGTGTCATTAAAAAAACTGGCATTTTTTATGCCCCCACAGAGTGGGAGCATATAGCGTTGCACTTGTCCGTCCGTCCGTACGTACGTACGTCTGTCTGTCCGTCCGTCCGTCCGTCTGTCCGTACGTCCCGAAATCTTGTGAACGCAACTCCTCTTAAACCGTATGGCAGATTTTGCTTAAACTTCCAGGGATGAACAACCTTAATGTGTAGATGGTAGTCAAAGAAGGATTTTTTGCTGCGACCAAATTTAAAAGAATAATATTATGGCCCTTTGTTGATTTTTTTCACTATAATACTATGTAGAAATTTTGTGAACGCAACTCCTCTTAAACCGGATGGCAGATTTTGCTTAGACTTCCAGGGATGAACAACCTTATGTGTTGTAGATGGTAGTAAAGGAAGGAATTTTTGCTGCGACCAAATTTAACAGAATTATGGCCCTTTGTTGATTTTTAGTTTTCAACTTGTGGCACATGTAGTCCAAAAATATTTGACCTAGAGACCTAAGATTGACAGAACAGTGGCGTGTGGGGCCATCCGTGTCCTATGGACACATTTCTAGTTTTTTTTTTTTTAGAAAGACCAACTTTACTTGACCTGTAATAGAATATGCAGCTTCCCACACACAGTTTAAATTGTACATTCATTAATCAAAATCAGACATATTCAGAAGGAATAACATAGATTTCAATTAATGTCTGGGATAAAAATATAGTATATCTTTTAAGATAGCTCTAAGTATGAAAAAATGTAAAGGATATAGTTTTGTCATTATTAAATAAAATGTTAAGGAAAGTTCTAGAATAAAATGTACAGAAAGGAGGATAGTTCTTTAACCTTTAGGTTAATTTGTAAATGATTACAGAATTTGTACAGTCAAACCTTAAATAAAAGTTGCTATTCTTTGAAAAGTCAACAATATCAATATGCTGTAATTGAATTTAAATGTTTACAAAATGGGTATTTTTAAATCACTACAATACAATATCATATTTGTTAGGCAGCTTAAATTGCTGTATTAAAATTAAAAATAACAATAGGATTGTATATAACAGTTTATACCCCGGCCCGAATACCTTTTTAAAGAACTTCTTGTTTAAAACTCTTCTGTTTTTAAAACGTCCGGCGATGAGGTCGAGTGGGGGGGGGGGGGACTGCCAAGAATAAACTCGCAAAATTAAACAGGGGAGGCATGAAAGTAGGCCTACTGCGTAAATAAACATTATTTAATATACACCTATACCATTTATATTTCAAGTTTTAATTTAAAGATCTAGCATGAAATATTTTCCTCATTTTCATTAGCAATAGAAAATGTCTCCATTATTATATTTAACAGACCATGCGTGCGTTTGCTTACAACAACAGTTATTTATAAATCAATATAAGTCACGTGAGGTTTATTGGTTTGTTTACATTCGTTGGAGGGGGAGATAAGAACTTCATTTATCTTTAAAAGTGCGTTTTAAATTGTGTTTTGTTGATGCGAATCTTAAAGAACGTACACAAATGATGTCTTAAACGTTTAACCACTATGTGTGCTTAATTGGACTGGTGAACATTGGCTATAATTATGTTATAATCTAGATTTATGTTCAACATACATGATGAAAACTGAGAAAATGGACAGTAGTGTATCATACCAGCCATTGAGACAACAGAAAGAAAAGAAAGGTATACTTTAGATTGTTTAACATATATCATGATTAATGAAATTATTTGAGATAGTAAATCTAGATCTAGATAGTATGTTAGGCTAATCATACGCCGTGTGTTTACACACATGACTCTTAAGGTCACTGACTAATCAGCATAAAACTTATATATTTACATACAACTACGCAATTTATGTCAATGTAAAGTCCGATATAAAGTTTAAACCTTTAAACTTTCAAAGCGACTTGAATGTTTACATCACTTTACAGTTCAAGGGTTTATAGGTCAATAATCACATGATATTGATTTAACTTCCGAACCGAAAGTAGATTTTTCCTTTGTTTAACATCTGTTTTCTAGTCATGTAGGTTGTGTGTGTTTAATGTTTGTTTTGATTATACATTCAATATTTTCGACCCATGATATTAGACATAGCCATAACGCTAAATTGTATAAAGGTAATACTTCAAGTGTCCTTTATTTTGCCTTTTTATTCAATTCAAACACATATATAACTTATAATATCTTTATTCCTCGTACTCTTAAAACTGTCAAGATTTATGTGAAGAGGGTGAAATGATTTATGATGATATATTTACATCTCTGTACAGTATTTTAACTAATGTAGGTCTCTTTCTAGGCTATAAAAATAACGGATTTGATGACATTATATACAGATTCGAAAAAGAGGGGGGGGGGACGTTTAACAGAAATCCAGCAGTTGTAGATCTATTGTATGTTTAATTAATAATAAATTCTATTAAATCCAGGGATAGCAGGGTCGAACAAATTCAATGAAATGACATTTTAAAAAAATGGAAAGGTTTTATAAATCGCACACTTGGTTTGATTTAATCAATATGTTCAATATGAGAGCGATCATGAAATATGCATTAAACCTAACCGCTACCCTGCCAGTACCGGCTGAAGCTGTAACGGACCAGAAAATATTACAACTGTTGCATTGAACCGAAGAACGTTGTTATTTTTACAGCTTCCATACATGTGTTAAAAAATCGCTAGAAATTATCTAACATAGGCAAAAAATAAATCAATAAATAATATTATTATATGATCTAAATATAGCTGCAATCTCATTGGTCCAAACAGTTGTCAACAGAACTTTTTATAAAATCATATTTACTGGGTGTAGTATCATATTCACTGGCTGAATTGGATTGTCCCAGCCTAAAAATAGATTGAGACTCATATTCAATGATCATACACCGTAGACTGTTAAATACGCGTGTTACTTAAAAAATAATTGTTGCTTTTTGTTCTTTATGACATATTTCTCGATTAAAATATCAATACATTACCATTTTACTTAAAGGCTACACCGCAATGATGAGTATAAACTTGAATTACTTTTGTATGCGCAGCGTTCGCGAAGTCGTTGCACGCCTAACACGTGCGTCTTTTTTCCCGCGCTTCAACGAGGCAAAATTTGTACATGTATAATTAAGGTTGTACTTTTTGTGATTTTTTTTATTTCTTAGCCTATTCATATAATAAAACAATTATTGACGAGTGAGCCATTGAATATGATGTGATATTCACCGGCAGAAAGTCATATTGACCTCGGCTATCGCCTCGGTCAATATGTCATCTGCCGGTGAATATCACATCATATTCAATGGCTCACTAGTCAATAATTGTATAATATTTTAACTTTAAAATGTAAGAATGATCGTTAAAAAAATAAAATGCTCATATATTCAACACGGGCAAAACATTATGATATATCTAACGATCAGTGCTACTTCTTCAAAATCAAAATACATTATTTATAATGCTATTGAACTTGATATTTATAATGCTGTCGAATTGAAGTAGAGCTGTCATCGATAGACACGATATCGATGTATCGTTGATATTTTTCTGTTGATCAATTATCGATACACATTTTTAAAAAAATTGATTAATCATTTAAATATCTATGAATTATGAAAATTCACCCAAAACATATACAGAAGCAGGCGGCCATGTCCAGCACTAATCTGTCATTACATCATGGACACATTTCATAGCAATGATGATAAAAAATGCTTAGGAAATAATCATGTGTAGGACATTATAAACAGAACACAACATCTTTGTATGATCAGAACATACATTTTACTTAAATAATTTAAATAGATATAAAAGTTAATTATATACAAGAATTTAAGAGAATATGGATCGATATATCGATGTATCGCCGATATTTGTCATCCGATATCGATGTATCGTCAGTATGCTTTGCAATGAATCAATGACAGCTCTATATTGAACTCTCCACAAGTTTAATAATCACATTTTTCAATATTATTGAAACATATTTCTGCTTATGATAAATTTATAAGCAGACCAATTGCGTAGTTTAATTTCTAATCAATACTTACTTATTATATATAGCATTTAATTTATTCATGGATGCGTTACACATTACTAAGTACGGTAAAATGGTTTGTGAAAACGATAGAAATGTTATAATCATCTCCCAACTCGTGATGTTTGAATGCATTAAATAGCTAATATGTACTTTTCCTATATCTGTACATATTTTTAAAATTCACAGGCAGTATTTTGGCCTATCTTATATGAAACTATTAAGGCCTCAACAGACTGTAGGATTTTGAAGTACAACACCAATTAAAACTAAGATGTACAGGCAAATCTTAATGTGTGAAGGCTACTATTCCTTGAATTCGGAAACCTTAAATATAGATGTAAGGGATAGGACATGTTTTATTTTGAAAATCTTGTACAGATTTTTACAGACCTCCCACAATGACAAGTAACAGATAACCAAATTATCTCCTGATAATGGGTGTAATGAATAAAATTCCAGAACAATTATGGCTAAAAGGTAAACATAGTAGTAAGATGGGGTAATAATGATGTTGAAAAACTTTTCAGGAGACCCAAAGTTTTGGTATGTTCGAATCCCAAATTGTTCCGAAAATGATTATGTCACGGTATTGAACTGTTCTCTAATTAGGAGAGGAGAGGTAGTTTGTAGGAGGCCGGATAGCTTAGTCAGTAGAGCCGCAGTACGGTATTCCAAGGGTCCCAGGTTTGAGTCTTGGTCAGGCTTCACATTTAAAAAAATATTATATTTTTTAAATGGGGGTGATTCAATCATTACTCATGGAGAAAAAAATATTTAGTGAGTAAAGTATGTAAAGGATCAATGTAAAGGGATCCTTTTTAAGGAAACCTGAGATGATTCCTACAGTGTAGAATTACCGTCTGAATGCAAATGTTGTATTGCTTTGAAAATTGTACATCTTATCTCTAATTAGTGCTGTGCAACTAAATCCTACCGTCTGCTGAGGCCTTGAGAAACAACTTGTAACACAATTGAAGTCACAACTGTGTATATTTTCTTTTGTTGTCGAGTAGAAATAAAAAGAAAAAAAGAATTCTTATATGGCACACCAAATAGTAGAATTTGAACCCACTACCCTGACGGGGGGATATGGATTTGTGTTTTTTACTAGAAACTCATTTTAATAGTATCCGTATTTACCGACTTATATTATCAAATCAAACTAAAATACTCAACATATAAGAGCGAGTATGAATTACGATCACATATGTTCATTAGGCTGCAGTACAGCACATACTCGAAATCAAATTTTCATGGTTAGTTCAGACATAACGCCTATTCATTTCTTTCAATTTACATTGCAATTGAATAATATTATATTGGTCCGTATTTAATATATATTGCCCGTTTACTTAACAAGTTGCTCGTTTTATGTCATATATTTCACAGATTCGCTGTTACTCGTACGTAATACTTGCGCAATTTTCACTTCCTGTATTACGGGATATTTATTGTGGTTTCATACATGATACATATTTAAAACCATTTGAGCCGCGTCAAGACAAAACCAACATAGTGGGTTTGCGACCAGCATTGATCCAGACACTTGGGGTTTGGACCTCAGAACTTTTTTGAGCCATGCTTTTAGAAGGGAATTTGCAACACGTGTTTTCAAACACATCCAAGTATTTATGGTTATGCCACATAAACAATTGATTTATTTGTTACATTTGTTTTTGAAAGTTTTAAAGATAATTATATTAAAAAAACTAAACGTTTTAAGATATTTTGCTCCAAATTCATGATGTTTTAGATTTTTCATTAAGAGAGAATACAGTTTCTTGATGTTTATTTCTTTTTCGTTTCTTTTCTGGCCGCCAGAGGTCAATGTTATTGAAAAGGGAAATTGCGTGAAAGTATTTGAGCCGCGTCATTACAAAACCAACATAGTGCGTTTGCGACCAGCATGGATTCAGACCAGCCTGCGCCTCTGCGCAGTCTGATCAGGATCCATGCTGTTCGCCATCAGTTTCTCTACTTGTAATAGGGTTTGTAAGCGAACAACATGTATTCTGATCAGACTGCGCGGATGCGCAGGCTGGTCTGGATCCATGCTGGTCGCAAACCCATTATGTTGGTTTTGTCGTGACGCGGCTCAAGTGTATTTCATAATCGTTCATCATAAAGATATTACTTCGTTTCGATCTTATAATGTACAAGTTTGGTATTTTGCACACGTCGTTTTTCTGATTGTAAATAAATGCACGAAGCAAAGTTTAATGTGTCTTTTATATATTGTTAAGAAGTCCAATGTCAATACTTGTAAACGTTTTATATTATGTTATAAAGCGGCATGATGACGCATAGTAGTGATTTTTATAAATAGCAGAGAAAAAAAACATTCAACACAACTTTATCCATGTAAGCATATTTAATAATTAGGATTCTTAAACATGATCATTTTATGTTAGTCATTTGAATTTTTTTTTAAATATATATTTAAGCGATACCTTCATCAGTTCACATACGACAAACATTGTTTGTTTGGTAGAGGGGGGAACTTAATAGGAATCACTTTGTTCCGTTCGGTCCCGGAGTTTTAATTATCTTTTGAAACGTAAAATGTATATGTATGAAGGGTTTTTTGCAACTCTTCGTGACATTTTGAAAAAAGTTATGCCCCTTTTAGAAATTTATTTATTTGAATATCTCATAGTTATTAACTTAAGCTTGACATATATAAAGAGGTTAATCATAACTCTATATCGGATTTTGATGACACAGTTGTACCTCTTTTACTGGGAAAAATGCCCTGAAATTCATATTTAATCTCATGTCATCTCAGACACCATAAAATTATACATGTGTTACTTAATCTGGATCCTTTAAGGAACAAAATTGATAATTGATAATAGTTTCACCAATTAACAAGGAAAGTTATCCAGAAATGCTGGATATAACGTCCCGTTTTTGTTTTGTTATTCTTGTTTTGTTGTTGTTATTGTTGTTGTTGTTGTTAATGATTTTTTGCTTTTGTTTGATTTTTGTTGTTGTTTTGTTTGTTTTGCGTGTGTGTTTTTAACTGTGCCATCCATTTTTCCGAGTTATGTACCTTTTTATATGTACCTTTTATGTACCTTTTGTATGGTAAATCTTATCCGGATCTATCTTAAACTGCTCCTACTCACTTTACTTATTTAACGATATCTTCCATATTTGGATTATATAATGATAAATAATTACAGTATGGTGTAATTTCAGGACCATGTAGTCACGTGTTTTATCTGTGTTCGGTGTGCCTGGTACTTGCCGTGATACTTATCACGTTAAAATTTAAGTACGGTAAGTAGACATGCTTTAATTATATTGACATTGTTTGGTAACACACAAATGGGTAATTTGATACCATTTCGTCCCATGTACACCGTTCAGAATGTATCATTAGAAGTCAAAAGAATTGCTCATTTGTTTGTTATGGACATACATGTAGTGGCGTATTTTGAACGAAGAAAAAAAAAATACTTGAAATTTCACAAATGAATTTATTTTACAGAACTGATTTGTTTCTTCTGACAGAAGACGGCATTTTACTATTGAAACATACGTGGTCGTATGTCAGAACAAAAATGTGTTGCTTTTATGCCTATTCAATGTTACTAAATGCCAAAAAATGTAAATATACAAACTGAATAAACCTTCTAAACTTTTTCTAAACTTCGGCAACAATTTCAAACTAGAGTCTTTACTCTTTTTTAATTTTAAGTAATTTACATATTGAACATTCTATCTTTCAATCAATCAATATACCTAGTCGACATAATAGCTTACTGGCTGGTGAGTTAACTATGACACTTTGTTTTATTGTTCTAACTTTGTTTCAACAAACAAGCACATGTTCACCTTATGACCTAGTGATATAGGAGCAGGAATACTATGATGAAAGTGTGAAATTTGTAAAACGTTCTGATGTGTTTATGTTTACCTAATATTTTTGTTGCAAACACTGCCTCAATCTTTTTTACAACTACAAGGCAATTAAAATGATCTTGACACACTGACTAGAGAAAGATTTTTTAAAAATTGGTTAAAATATCAACAATAAAATAGATAACACATATAAAATATAAAATATAAATGATCACACCAGGATTTGAGCAGTTTAACACAGTCTTTTGTAACACTATTGCGGAATACAAGTTAAGATTTAGTAAATATAGCAAACAATTACGCAACAATTACTGCACAATCTTTTGCTTTTATAATGAACAGCAATAATACTATTATAAATATTCCTGTAGTTTGTGTTGAAGTTGTATAAGTATTGTAATTAATTATCATTATTTCGCGTTTCGTTTCTTAACATTTCAATATACAGACTTATTATATCAGACCTTAACAGCTATGCGCAAATGAGTCAGGAATCACACATGCAACTACTGCTAATATAACAGGAAATATAATTAATCACTAAAGTCACACCTGCTAGTTATATCCGTCTGCTTCCGATAAGATTACATGTGATTATTTCCAATCATGAAATATGAAAGATAGCGTAGACCAGTCTGATCAGACGTAATAATTGACTGGTTGCATTGAAATGAAAGATGTTTGTTTTTAAAGGAGGCTTGTGTCGTAATGAGCCTTAAAGTGCATACAAAATATTATTATTCACATCGGACTCACTCGATCAAATAGAATAATCAAATAACCATATTTAACGTGAAAGAATGATCGTACAAATCAAAGGTTTTTTTTCTCTTCTTATCCTTCGGAATTGTGCAGATGGTTCAATGCCCTTTAAAAATTGATAAAGTCAGCGATTCTCCATTCTGGAAGTAAATATTTGTTTTATTATTTGTTGGGCAAAAAAAAAAAGATACACGAACACGAAATGGTCAGTGTCAAATCTCTTAAGATATTGTTGTGGTTTGGCTAGATATTGATGAGGTTTTGGTAATATAGACTCGAAGGAGGAGAATTCTTGTAGCATTCAACATTTAGGTATTGAGCTAATACGTAGTAGAGGCAACGAGTAACATGTAAACAATTAAGACTGTTGTTGAAATTTAAAGAAAAACAAAACAACTTTTCTCCGCACGAGTGAATATCTGTCGAAATGTTATCAGTTCATGTTACAGTTGATCAAGCCAAATCATGATTGATAGCTAATCGTGAAATTCATTAAGTCAAAAGTGAATTACACACATTGAAATAGCACCAGTATTTCATTTTGCCTCTTTTTTTGTCTGCATAATTCATGATTCTCAACATTCTAATTATGCTCGAGCGGGCAATTCCTTCATTTAATGTGTTGCTGTCTCATATAGTTTCCTGCAATTCTATTAAAAGTTATACAACTGACCTACTCTACAATAATTCAGATATTTTCGGAGTAATTTGTTACATTTTAATTTGTTTCTTAATTTGTCGAGCAAATTATTTCGATATTTTTGTTTTGTATGTGATGCGTAACATTTTCATGAATTTATACAAACCTAAAGTCTTGAGACTGAAAAAAAAAATATTAATTTCGTCTCTATTTAAAACGTTGTAAAGCATAGTCAATCTACAGAATAGTCCTATAAAACATTATCCACTGTCAACGTTAAACTAGCCTTTCCATGATTAAGTTTATACGAATTATTTTGGTTCGATTGTGTTGGAAGTAATAAATTTATTGAAATAGTCTCGAACCCGTGCTTTGAATGAACCCAGTACTAAGGAATGCTCAAGGATACAACGGCTTGCCCCGTACATGGTTTGAACACACGCGGCCAGCAATCCTTAGATTACTGGTCCAACGCGCTAACCACCTGGCCACGTCATGAATTGTGATAGTTTTTAAAATTTACACATTAACTCTTCCACTTCTTTAACTCATGTTTGGATCTGTTCAGCGACTTCGTTTTTGTCGTAAACAGTTACCCTCAAGCTAGATATTCCGGTCTGTTCCGGTAGCCGATGAAAGGCCCTTATATGTCAACATACTCCACGTTTGCGTTGTCTATTGAGTTATGTCTCTTTTATCTTTGTATTTTAAATTTGTAGGTAAACATTTTTTTTTTCAAAATATATGTAGAACTATGTGTATGTTCAGTGATTTTGAAAGTGATGGAAAATGTGTTTGATCAATAGATTTTATATAATATATATGTCTGCATTGGCTAATAAATGATAGTTAATATTTATATTGTTTGTCTTTAAGGAATCAATGAATACGATATGAACTTCGTAAAAGTCATAAAGTTTTATTCATAGTAACTTTAGTAACATGTTATGTTTCTTTTTTTTTTCAGGATCATCGCAATTATTCTTTACAGTGATAACAGTAGGTTCACCATGGAGACAGCAAGGTGGGTCATATATAGATATTATAATAATATTTTAAAAAAGTATCTGACTGATTATTTCTATTATTTTTTTCAAAGGTACATTTTTATCTGACTGATAATTTCTATCAGATATTTTGGGACATATCACATGTTGTTTCTTTAATTAATCATTGTCGTAAGTAATTGCTTTATTTTCTACTCCGAGGTCTCTTAAGATATTATCATTTTGGTAGAAAGAAAATAATAATGAATTGCTTTGCCAATGGTTATAAGATGCTAATACAAATTGCTATGTCAAAATTTGTTAGGTTCTAATATACTTCCTTTGTAATTATGACACAACAGAACAGAACAAAGTTGTTGTTCTGTTGTTGCTTTTTGTGAACTTGTGCATTTGGTACATTGCTTGCTTGATTGGCCTTTACGTCACAACGACACAGTATATGAGCAGTGTCACGACAAAACCAACATAATGGGTTTGCGACCAGCATGGATCCAGACCAGCCTGCGCATCCGCGCAGTCTGATCAGGATCCATGATGTTCGCTTACCAACCCTATTACAAGTAGAGAAACTAATAGCGAACAGCATGGATCCTGATCAGACTGCGCGGATGCGCAGGCTGGTCTGGATTCATGCTGGTCGCAAAGGCACTATGTTGGTTTTGTCTTGACGCGGCTCATTGATTATGTAATATGGCGACGTTGGACAGCTTTACTGGTAAAGAAAGACCTCAGGTGCTCACTTGTGCATTCTTTCAGGCACGAACGGACACATGAGTAGAACCACTGGTGTTCTGTAAACTAGCTCGATAGCTTCATCACATGAAAAAGTCCAAAGTCGTCTTCGGGATTTGAACCAACAGCGGTAAGAAGCAAGTGGTTTGAAGTCAACGACCTCAACCACCCAGCCACGGACGTCCCTATGCATGGCACATAATAATACAAAATGATACAATGCATAAACTAATACAATATCATTACAATGCATACTTGATATATATATTTATTTAGTAATATATTTTAAATACAGTGTCACGTAATAATTTATATGCCGTTTTGTTTTACTGAAAATTAATTAATGTGATTTCAAACAGAAATAATACTTTCTGTGGAAGCACTATCAAATTTACAGTTTCCTCAGTTTGGTTATTTGATAATTTTACATCATTAGTTTACATCATTTGTAATTTTGCTTCATTGTGTATAGAAAAGACGAGCGGCAACATGAATGGTAAATATGTGATAGCGAGTGGAGCAAAGCAAGAAGTACCATTCAATGATGACTACTCTAGCAAAGGTTACGAGTACTTTGACGTGTACTCTCCCGAAATAGCAACACATTATGGCGAGGTATTCTGGACAGACCAAGGCAACAACCCGCTCCCGAAAGAAATTATCGACAGATTCAAAGGTAAAAAAAATTGAATTTTCTCTTTCTACTACACTTGACATTTAACAATGTGTTAAAAATCAGGATCTGAGGGCATTGCTACAACGAAAATACCTTTCAAAAGGAAAAATATTTGAGTTGAGCTATTAGGATGGCAAGATGTCCGTCCTCTGTTGTCCTTATTTGCCTTAAACGAGCGTCGTCACATCTCCTGTCTAATGTTCTTTTAAAAAGGTTAAACAAGACATGCCCCTTTGGTCAAAAATGGGCCCCGACCTGGGAGTCACATATCCAAGATCAACATGTTTAATAGTAAAAGGTCTCATGTGTCAGGGGCTAAGATATTTCGCACGAGGCATTTTGTATCAGGCATCTAAAATCATGTAGCTTTGATAGAAAATGATTAACCGAATGTGACCTAATATGACTTTTGCGCCTTCTTAAGCAATTATGTATCTCAGGTGAGCGATCCAGGGCCATCACGGCCTTCTTGATGTATAGAGAAAGGAGGAGGAAAACATTAAATTCAAATTTGTAGAATGTATTCTTTAGATTTATTGACAACATTCATAGCAAATTTCCTACATACTTTTTTATCTTATGGAAAACACACAGCAGTATTATAGATCTACAAATACAAAAGTGTTGATTTTTTTTCTCCGGAGATAACGTTTGCAAAGACATTTACATTTGATTTTCATGTGATAAAAATGTCTGTTAAATCAGATTTATTTGGAAAATAAAAACGTATTGTCATGTTGGAAAATCATAATGTATCTGCTCCTTTTTTTCGCTGGTTAAAAGATACTTATATAATAAAGTGCATGATGAAATAAAGATACGTTGTTGCCATTAATCGTTTTGTTTATCATAGGTAAGGTAATGGCAATTACCGGTTACGAGCAAGACCAGGTCATGGTATCGCCAGTAGGTCAACCCGGAGTCAATCCAGACGCTGACGTCTCTGTGCCCATAAATTGGGCATACAACCATCATTATATGGCGTGGATGACTGGGGCGCATTCTAAAATGGTCCGTATACCAAACCCAGATCCTAATGACGTCAGCGCGCATGGTTCACCAATGAAATGGAAGGCTGTAGATTTGCCGTCTGCTGCACATCGTGTTAACAAGAATATACCAACGAGTCAATTTTTCAGTGAAGGAAATGGTGGTGAATCGAGAAAGAGTTTTCATGGCTATCCTAACGGTTATGCTCAACTGATAGACTCACCTAACTTGTGGCATATTACACCTATGCAAATTGATACCAGAAATCGTGACTGTGGAGCTACTTCTAAAGATATAAACAATTGTACAGATCACAGTGTACCTGGACCTGAACCTAAACAGGCGCGATACGGTCTTGGAATACCGAAAGGTGGATCCCCTTACTCTGGAATTCTCGAATGCCCATGTAATGGTCGATTCGGTGGTGACCCTTCAATTTATGGCAAGGAATCTCGCACAAAACTTGTCACTCATCATTACACATGCGTGTCAAAATCATCTTGCGGCACAGAAACCGTTTCAAGTGCAGTTGAGTGTTTTAACTCCTTTGTAAATATGGGAATAAAGATTGGAAAGAATGTTACAATAACTGCGCAAACGGATTCTATTCCACACGGTTGTACTGTTCATACATCATTAGATGGTACATGGACGGCTACATACAATCGGTTTAGAAGTCAAGCACTATGTTCAACTTCGCACACAAGATCCGGAACTGTTATCTTTTCTGTTGGTGTAAAAGTAACCGTAAATTTAAACAGTACTGCAGCAGAAATCATAATGTCTGGACCATCTAACGCTTGGTTTGGAACTGGTTTCAATGCAAGTCAGATGGCTGACGCTCCATACGTAATAATTGTAAACTCTACTGGTGTCTATGAGCGGCAGATCGGGACATGTGGAAGTGAGGGTGAGCATTGTCCAGGAGATGCACTTAGTCCTAGTGTACAAGTTGTATCAAGTAAAGTTGCAGATGGAATAAGAACTGTTACAATGACACGTCCACTAAAAGGAAAAACGTCGAAGTACTACACGTTTAACCCAACAAAACAGTCTCAGATAAACATGATATCCGCTGTCGGTTATTCTCAAATGTTTGCCCAGCATAAAATTCATACTACAGGCGTGTTGGCATTGATGGCTAAGGACGCACCTAATTGCATTTGTGACGTGGGGAGCATTGGAAAATTGTGCAACACCGACGGAACTTCATGTGAAACATTTACTAAAAACTGTCTTCCTCCTCCTGCTGGAGATCTCATCAGTCAACGCAATCCGACATGTAACTCTATACAATATGGCGGCGGTTTACGATGTTGTAAACATAAACGTATAATGCTTGACGCAGATCAGCCGATAAGACCAGAACTATTGAGATACCACATGAAATTCCGATTCTGGTTTCAAGTCTACGAAGCAACGGGTGAACAAGTTTCTCATCATGATCTTCCTCGTATTTATTATCAGACTGAAGCCTGGGCTGGTGAGTATGATGTGCCTCCTGCTTTTGCCAAGCCTGGTAAACCTATACCAGGTTATCCTAACTGGCCAGAAAAAACTCCTACACCCGGAACCACGTGTACCGGAAATTGTCCAGACGGTGATGACTGCAAATGTATCCACACAATTACGTTACATTTCAAGGTCAACAACAACACCAGGCTGATATACGCTGGAGGGCATTGTCATGCACCATCATGTATATCTATTGAGTTATACAGGAATGATTCAGGTCACAATATGGAACTACTTTGTCGACAGATGCCAGTTTATGGAAAAGGAAAAGTAAACCGTGATAAATTTGATGAGTTGGGATATATTTCTCTACCACCGTGTCTTTGGGGTGATGATGAAGGGCTTAACCCGTCAGTTCTACTGCCCAAAAATACTCCCTTGGTGTCTATTAAGCACAACTGGAACACACACGTTGGTCACTTCGGTGAGATGGCTTCATGGCAGATGAGAGGAACCTTTTACTAACAAATTTGTTCCCAAAACTGTGTTTGTTGAATAACATTATATTTCCTTTATGCAATAAAGGAAAAATCCGGTGATTATCTTACGTGGAATAACATGTACATAAATAAACTAGATATGAATATACAATTATTCAATGTGTCCATACATTTGATATCTTGGTAATGTATCATGGATTTTTAAATGACTACTACACAAGTGTGACAAACTTACATTGCTTCTATGATTAGCTTGTTGTATATAAACAATCATTTTATAAAACACGTAAATATATCATAACATCTTATCTGTTGATATATAAATGATCTTCTCATTATTGAATTTAAGGATACATATTTAGATACATTCCAATTTGTTGTATTTATTATTGACTTGATTCGTTATTTAATATGTTAAATGCAATCTCTTATAGTTCTTTCTATTTCTTTGTACATTTGACTGCGATAGCTATGATGGCTTATTTTTCCTTTGAATAAAAGTGTTATTTTTATGTTGTTAGATGTTATTTTCAAGTTGGCAAATGCGTCTGGCATATTAATATGTTATAAACTTTTTGATGAAATGTTGAAGAATCTGATCTGATCGAAAAAGGTAAAATGTCTAAATATATGTTTTGTGTGTACTAAACAATATTATAAACAAATACAAGCACAATTTCAATGAAATGTGCAATATATTTGAAAACTGACCCGTTTGCATAGATCGAACACATCAAATGGAAATAAGCATTGTTTTATAAACCATGTGTATATAGTATAACTCGAGAGTATGGTTGGCATTTACTGTTGTATGTTGATCGTTTCCTGCATTGTCAGATGTACCAAAATAACGAACTATTCTATCAAAACACAACCGATCCATAAAACACTTTATTATATACTTATAAATGAAATATTGATGGAATAAAATTCGTATTTTCATTTTCCGTATTTTCACTGTAAAAATGTATTTTTTACTGCAGTGAAACATATTTTCCGTATTTTCACTGATATCTTGCAGGACTACTTTCCACTAAATTCAGCCAATATACAAAATTTGAGTGAAACTCTTTCAAATTGTAACGTCAAAAAAGACCCCAAAAAAAGTATATAATAAACAGACAAATTCAAGTTTTTTCCTTAAATACATTATTTATGTTCATCTTGTGGTTGAAAATCCTGAAATATTTATTTTCTTTCTACTAGATGAAAATAAATCCTGTATTTATAGAAAAAAAAACCTTAAATATCCTCTTTTTATTATTATTATTATTATTATTATTATTATTATTATTATTATTATTATAAATGCTTCTCTTATATTTCAATAAATGTATACGAAAAAAATAACAATTTCATATGTAGTAATAATGTAAGTTTGAATATAGAAATCAACTCCAGGTTCAATTTAAAAGACTAGTGTATTTTTTTTTATTTGAAAAAAAAAAACAATGTTTCGACTTAAAGTCTTCATCAGGTATCAAGTATAAATTTGTAGTAAAACAAATATTTTGCTTATATTAGGAAAATAAAGCTCGAACTTCTCTCGCCTCCATAGTATAAAAATTTGCACTTCGAAAAAAGAAAGAAATTTTTTATGCAATATCACGCGGGCAAGTTTAATGCAGACTCGGAACAGAGTTGCAATTATTTATGACGGCGTGATCTGTGACGTTTTGCACTGTCCGTGACGGTGTAATTAATTTTATAGATTATCACTATAATGTTGTTTGTAAATAACTACAAGTATATGGTATACGTTGGTCACTGTGCTTAAACTCTGCCCCTGTGCATATTGTGTTATATAATTTTTTCTTTCCAGGGATAGTGAAAAAAAATGTTTTGTGAAAGGAAAATGTAGAAGTAGGAATGACACGCCACTGGCAAAAAAAATTACCATAGGAGGAGTAAATTATACTGTAAATACTTTTAACATGTTCCCATTTTTTGCAGTCGGTCGTGTGCAAGACCAATGACTGGTGCACATATTTGCTATAAAGTATTTGACAAAAAATGTATATATTAAATAAGATATATATATATAGAAATTCGCAGACCTCTGATTAACACCTTTACAATCCCACGTACATACATGTGCACAAAACATGGTCAGATAATAATAAGTCTTTATCACGCTATGCCGCCGGTAACCAATAATCTTCTCGGAAACAACAAGGAATGAAAGTACAGGTGGGGCTACTTCGTCGTGACTTGATGTAAATACGACCAGAGAATGTAGAACTTGTATTGTAAGTAACAACGATATATTATAATAAACTGAGCATACAGAAATAAAAAGATATATTTCGATATTGATATTATATGAAACAATGGCCTATAATCAAAATCAATTTGTATAATGCCACTTAGCATGCGATTGTTTATGGTCAATTCACTGGGGAGGAAGTGTTACACGATGGATGGAGTTCTTATGATAACTTGTCAAGGAGTTCTTGTGATAACTGTCACAGAGTTCGTCGGAAAACTATTGTATATACTGCAAAAACACTCGTGAAAAATGGTAAATTTCATCTTTAAAAAGTAAGTTTTAGGTGAAAAATTAAACTTAATGATTAAGCGTGCCTTACTAATGCATTTTGTGTCAATAACTAATTCATAGACCATTTTTAATCGCCTCTTGCTTAAAATCTGGTAGTTTTGATTTAAATTTCCAAATTATTTGCCAATTCGCAAGTATTGGCCTGTTTATTTCAAGTCTTCATCCTTGCCATACATAATTACCTAATTATAATGCAAAATTGCAAACATAAAGCTCCGACTAACAAATTATACCCGATTTTTTTAAATGTTCCGGAGTTTTTGAGAGTTGTGATAACTCTAAATATGTCCTGGAGTTCTTATGATAACTTTTGTTACTGCCAATGTGTTTCTTGTGCTAAATCACGGCACGTTTTGAATCAATATAAGGGAGACAACAATGATGAACTCAAAAGTTATTTCTATTAATTAATTCTCTTCAAAATGGAGGACGATGGTAAACAATTAGTTCGTTATATGTAAAACTATTCGCTTTAAAAACTTCTGATACAAGGAACTAATTCGCTATATGCTTACAAGGAACTCCGGATATAAGGAACAGATTTTGAATGTCCCAATGAGTTCGTTATAAGTGGAGTTTACCATCGCCTCGGTCAATATGTCATCTGCCGATGAATATCACATCATATTAAATGGCTCACTAGTCAATAATTGTACAAGTAAAATGGTTCCCTGCGGGGAACATTTTTAATTTCACTATTTTCAACATTGTTTGTGGGGGGGGGGGGGGGAATAAATAGACGTTTGTACATCAGGAATATAGTTGACAATAATCGATCAATATAGAAGAATGTCTTTGGAAACTGGTGACCGTTGAAGACCGGAGAAGGTCGAACATAAAACAATTATTTCTTTTTAAGAAAATGATTAAATAGGCCTACCATTTTATGAATAATTCCGAGCAAACAAAGAATAAAGTAAACACACAAGTTTACGCAGAAAATATCTCTATTTATTATGGCAGATGCCACTACGAATATTTTACTTTTGTAGATTTTCAGCATAAACAATTTATTGTTTGTAAAATTTGAGATATATTTTAAAGATACATTGATCATTTTCAAACACATCATTCAAGTTTTTCCACCTTAAACGGTAAAATAATAATAGAAAATTAGAAATACCAGGTACGTATATTAATATATGTACCTGGAAATACCACGTAATAGTTTTTTGTTCTTAATTAGGTGTAATTCGGACTAATTGCCTAGAGGTAGATCCGTAACGTACCGGCAAATGGTATTTAGCTAGGTTTTCAAAAAGGTCAATTAACCAATCATGTACGGTTTACAGATCACATGCTCCTCCATGTACCGAAAACAGGTCACGTGCTCCTCCATGCCTCAAAAGTTAAACGCATATACCAATACCCTGCGGTCTCCAGACCGCAGGGTATAATATTATTAGCACCTGTATAATATACATTTTACATAATTGTTTTTTAAATTAACATCAAGGAAGTTTCGCCTTAAACACGATATAATTATTTATAACAGAACAGTTGAATAATTTGGCAAATACCATTTGCTTACATGGTATAATTTTTGTAGCGTAGCTTTAAATTTTGCCAATTCGATATCCTGTCGAAGTATTCTTATACACATGTTCGCGGTCTTTATCATAAGTTTGACAGAAAATTGAAACATTTCGATTGTGCGTTTGACGTAATGCTACATTTATGCTCGTTTCTTAGGAATTGAATGTCGGATGCACAAAGCGTAGCATAAATTGATACCCATAAGTGCGCTATATGTGCCCAAGTGACACGAATTATATTATGATCAGTCACGACAAAACTAACGTAATGCGTTGCGACCTGCATGGATGCAGACCAGCCCGCGCATCCGCGCAATCTGATTAGGATCAATGCTATTCGCTATCAGTTGCTCTACGTGTAATAGAGTTGGTAAGCGAACAGCATGGATCCTGATCAGACTGCGCGGATGCGCAGGCTGGTCTGGATCCATGCTGGTCGCAAACGCATTATGTTGGTTTTGTCGTGACGCGGCTCATATAATGATTAGTCACCAGTGATCTGTCGTCTACTCGTGTTCTAAGTTGATGGCATAAGTTATTCGTTATTGCTTCTGTATGGGGTTAAATAGCTTATAAAAATACTCTTGTGAGAAGAATTGTAAAATTCATTGTGTAAGAGATTTTAAATCAACAAACTATTTGTAATCTTAAATTTGCCATATACTAGTATATAAATGATATTTAAAAAATACACATTCGTTGCAATATAATCAACAAAATTCACTGGAATGTGAATAGATACTCTACTCTACTCTATATAACATATAATTTCTGCAAGTATTTTAGGGGAATTAGATTATTTACAGACATAAAATGTTAGGTCATACGCCATATAATACAAGGTTATACTCCATAATTCTAGGTTATTGGCAGTAATGCAATAAAATCTGAACTTTTAAGATTGGATCAACCTTTTTCTGTCATGTCGTCGGTTCAGTGACAGGGAGACTATTAATCTAGCTTTTAACGACGCTTCTACGTTTTCAGACATTGCATATAATTACATTCAGAAAAAATCATGAAAAGGGGAAGTTATAATTATAAATAATACCAGTTTTAGATACAAACCGACGATGACTTATACAATTCTTCCTAAGTCTTTTCATTGTGAATATGTCGTATGAAGAAAAATTAAGACAACTTTTTTTGTTATTAAGATTAAATAATCTGATGGATTTATTATGGCTTTTATTTAGTGATCTGCTTGAAGACACGTCTGCTTACCTTTCTAGATAACCTATCCTTATTATTGAACTTAATATATGGCGATGTTAAAGATAGCTGTTAAAATATTCTGTTATAAAACAAAATGTCCAAATTGTTTGATGAAAAATAAAGTGCTCTGTTTGTGGACACGTGCTATAGGCCTCTTAGTGTTTGAGTTTTTCTTATTTGAGGTATTCAGCTTGAAAGTCAAAAGTTTATTTGTTCGAAGGTGAGTTAGTGAGTTAGTTTCCTAGTTAGTTGGTTACTGTTTCTTACTTGTTAATAACAGAGTAATGGAAAAATATATCGTCATGAACTTCTATTTTTTTTAAGTAAAAATTTAATAAATATTTTAAAGTAAAAAATAAGAAATTTATTTTTTAAGTAAAAATTAAAATCAAACATTTCATTTTCTCTAATTTAAATGACTCATACTAACACAGTTTATCAGTCTGGACAACTATAACAAGGCAATAAATAAGAACAGTAAATAGTGTTTTAAAGTCAATAACTAAGAACAGTGAACCGGTTTACCATTATACATGATTATATGGGACAAAGTTAAAGATATGTTTGTCTAATAAAATCAATTCGTAATTTTTATCTTCAAAAACACGGTGAAGGGTAACAACATTCCTACTTCGCGTGTTAGTCCCTTCAGTTAGAAACATGGAATACGTATCTAGCGACCTTGTACCCGTAAAATGAATCACTATTTATGAAGGTGTAGGATGTTTGAAGACAAGTATCTGGGTCAATTGTCGAACAAGAGGTCTGATATCTGTGGTTTAAATACCAAAGTTTAGACAAAATTGTTCATAATTGTTGGATCAGAGTCTAGCTCGCAATGGCAGGCTTGACTGGTAAGAAATAAATTTTATTAAGTTTTCATTAATTGTTTGCTTTTTGTTTATATTGCTAGCATATATATGCAAACAATTATTTTAATAAATTGATTTTATTTTTAAAATTGTATATTGTAAAACTTATATGTTGATAAAATTTTTTTAGTTCTTTAGACAGATTCCTTGGTCAAAGGATAGATATATCGGGCAAAGGCCAGATCTCTTCCTCAAAGGACTGACCACTTGTTCGAAGGACACAACAATTATAACTTCTAGACACCCGCTTCTCTTTGACTTACTATGAAACAATTAAAAATACTTTTCGTAATGATAAAGCATGTATTAACTTGGTCAAATACACAAAACATGATTACTTTGGTAATCTATCCATTTTATCATTATATTTCTAGTTTCTTGCTATTTCTAGAAGAAACAAAAATGAATTTGCAGAGAATGCATCAGATACATATTTATGATTTAAGGTTGCCAAGGATATGCTTATGAAAATATTGTTTTATCTGTCGTTCTGATTCTCACAAGCTTAATTCTCTTTTTTTTTTCAAGGATCACCAATACGTTTCATAGTCTTTGCTGCTCTATTGTCGCCATGGGTCCTGCCGGGTAAGTCATTTTCTAAATATAGAATAATAACGACCGTTGGAGATATCCGCGTGTTCAGTAGCGTTTCATTTGTTGCCAGTACAGTATATGACTACTATCATAGAGCTACTTTTTTATCTCTTTTTTGTGGTTGTTGTTGTTGTTTGATTTGTTCTTTTAATGAATCTTCAAATTCAAGAAATTATATAATCCGCTGAGGTGGTAAGTGTGTGACATAATCTTTTCGACAAGCATCCGGTTATTGGCAGGATCAACCAGACAACTACAACTCCAGTCTGGTGCATTCAATCAAACAACACTTTCAACTTCCGTGAAAATTAAATTGCACTTCATATATGCATGGATTTAATTCTGTTAAGTCTGTTGTTTGTTATTGTAGCGTTGCGTGTTATTAACAGGTATCGAAACAGTTACCGTTTGTGGCTGAAATAGTGCACGAAGGAACACCTAAGGTCTTACTCATCTTGGAAAGTAATTTTAAAATCTTAACAGTGTTGGTGTTTCTTTAAATATTATGTCCCTTATTGGAAATTTCAGTATTTTTTAAAAGGCAAAAACGAGAAATTTAAGTAGCTATTACAAAAAAGCTTTTATTTCAAATTACTTTTATAACATCATTTTACAATAATTATCCAAACCTACAAACAATTCTGTTTAAAATAAATTATGTTACGCTTACTTCTTTCATACCTTAAAGAATATTTATCATGTCGCACAAGCAACGTCGCATTGCATTACAGCAAAGGTTGCGCACCATAACATGGAATAAACCAACAAACACAAATATAAGATCAAATGTGATGTTGCTCGCCAAAATTCGAGTTTAGAATTATCCTGCCATAAAAATTGACGATGGTGACCACAATTGTTTTTCATTCATTTTTTTTTCAATTATAATCTTTTTGATCTTTTGAGGTATAAGAAAATTTTCCCTGCTATTTTTTTCTTATTTGCCTTTGGAAAAAAGGAAAAAAGGCTGAAATTGGGTCCTTATACCTTTAAACCTTACAAAAATTATTAGACTCGTATCAAATCTCAGAGGCGATATCTCGGTTGTGCCGTAATGTAAACATCAAAATGTGAAGTAAAAAGGTCATTTCCTGGGATCTCGAAAGATGCATAACGTACTTCTTATATCTATTGGTGCATGTAGATCTGTAACTTGCAAACACTGTTTAATAATGTAACTATTCTGCACACATACGTTTGTAATTAGAAACGGATATATTATCACCAAGTCATTAAATTAGTTGCAAGTGCATTTTATAATATCAGCATATGTATCGCTTGGTAAACACATGTGCAGGTTCAACAGTCATAAATACTGTTTAAGATAAACATCAGAATATATTAGGTTATGTAAACTAAAATGTTAGCAACGTGCAATGACATTCCTGTGTAGTCTCGTTGATAACAAGTTTGTACAGGTAACCAAGGAATGACCTTTGTTAAGATTTTTAGCAAACCATATCAATATGATTATTCTACTCCAAACATTTGTATTCACCTTTCGTGCACTAATGCTTGCTAACAGTTTCATTTAAATGTGTCTTGTTTTATTAGGTGTAGTCAGTCTACATTTAGGACAGTCAATTTAACTAGACTTGTTACACAGATTATATGTATAGACCTTTCCATGTGAGTCAGCTAACAGGGTGTCAACTCGGGTGTCTGTTTGCAATCGTGATTAATAATGCAAAGATGGGACCCTGGAGGTCGTCCCCTACCAGTAAAACTTGACAGTCACCGTATGACTAAATTAACCAGCATAACGTTATGGAAACAAAGAAGTAGCAAAACACTGAGATAAAAAAGATTATATAGCCTATTTAAATTGTCAAGTTTCAATCCTTCCGACAACCTTGATACCTAGCATACCTATTTCATAAATTTGAATTAGGATTTGTCGTGATATATGTTATCCGTTCTGGAGACAACATTTCAGACAATATATTTAATCATGAATGTACCTAAATAATCTCTCCTAACAGCACAACGTTTTGGGTATTTATATGTAACTTTTCATGGTCTATCAAAGTATAAGATATCGAATTAAAGTTTTATATTTCAGTTATTAAATTATCATATTAGAAACAATAAAATTAATATGGTCCAGTGAATTCATTCTACGAGTCATTAGGCGACGGATATAAAAGCAACTGTTTATACGCGGCCATAAAATCTGTAAATAATTCATAACGAATTTTAAATACTATAATTAAATATCGCAAATTTACTCTTTTTTATAAAAAAAACAATTCATAGATAATATATACATCACGACTGTCCAATGAAAAGTGGACGTCACAATGGTACAGTATGATAAGTAAAGTTAAAGCATTAACCACGAGGTGAGCACTTAATTGATATTAATCAGTCATTTCTGTATTATTATTATTTTACTATTATTACAAGAGTTTGCTTAACATTTTAAAAACAATTGAAAATGTAAGATTTAGAGAAATATATATTTTATGTAGGACACGCAAGCGGCAACATGAATGGTAAATATCTGGTTGCAAGTGGTGGAAACCAAGGCGTACCATTTAATGATGATTACTCTAGCAAAGGTCATGAGTATTTCGACGTGTACTCTCCAGAAATTGCAACTCACTATGGCGAAGTATTTTGGACAGATCAAGGAAACAACCCAATACCTAAGGAAATCATCGAGAGATTTAAAGGTTAAATACTTATTTTGATCAAAGCAGATATTTGAAAGATGTACAGTCATGTATATGTTAAACTTGAAGACTTGAGTAACTCTTTTATTCAAACGGGACTCAAAGCGATGATTCTAATTCTATAAATAAAGTTTTCTTATTAAAAAAAATAAATAAAAATGATCATTTGGTTATGTTTTTGCAAAACAAAAATAGATTGCATCTTTTTGTATTTTTTTTATAGAAGTTACTAACTTAAAAATCATAATATAAATGTATTTTGATTTGTATCATTTAATTAAATAACACAGGAAAAGTAATGGCGATTACCGGTTACGAGCAAGACCAGGTCATGGTTTCTCCAGTTGGTCAGCCCGGGGTCAATCCAGACGCTGACGTCTCTGTGCCCATAAATTGGGCATACAACCATCATTATATGGCGTGGATGACAGGAGCTCATTCTGAAATGGTTCGTATACCAAACCCAGATCCTAATGACGTCAGTGCGCATGGTTCACCGATGAAATGGATGGCAGTAGATCTACCCTCGGCTGACGAACGTATAAATAGGAACATTCCAACTAGTCAAATGTTTAGCGAGGGAAATGGAGGAGAATCGAGAAAGAGTTTTCATGGCTATCCTAACGGTTATGCTCAGTTGATCGACTCCCCAAATATGTGGCATATAACGCCTATGCAAATTGATACCAGAAATCGTGACTGTGGAGCTACTCCAAAAGATATCAATAATTGCACAGATCACAGTGTGCCTGGACCTGAACCTAAACAGGCGCGTTATGGTCTTGGAATGCCTAAAGGTGGATCACCTTACTCTGGAATTCTCGAGTGCCCATGTAATAGTCGATACGGTGGGGATCCTGCCATTTATGGTAAAGATTCAAAGACGAAAATTATAAGTCATCACTACACCTGTGTTTCGAAAGCGACATGTAATGCAGATATTGTTGCAAGTGATGTTGAATGTTTTGACTCGGTTAGTAATCTCGGGATAACTGCAGGAAAGAAGGTGACAGTATCATCACCGACGAATTCTGTACCACAAGGATGCACAGCTCAAGTAGCATCTGATGGTACCTGGACAGTAACGTACAACCGATTCAAAAGTTCTGCTCAATGTTCAACCTCACCTACCAGATCAGGTACTGCGGAATTCTCAATTGGAGTAAATGCAACAATTAGTCTCAACAGTACATCAGCCATGATTACCTTATCTGGACCGTCAGACGTTTGGTTTGGAACCGGTTTCAATGCAAGTCAAATGTCTGATTCACCGTACACAATTATTGTGAATTCAACGGGTGTTTACGAGCGCCAAATTGGAACTTGTGGAAGCGAAGCTGAACATTGTCCAGGAGATCCACTACAATCAAGTGTGCAAGTTGTATCAAGCAAAGTAGCAGATGGGATAAGGACAGTTATACTGACACGGTCACTGAAAGGAAAGACTTCAAAATACTACACATTCGATCCGTCAACACAATCACAGATAAACATGATATCCGCGATTGGATCAACTCAGGAATTTGCTTACCACAAAAACAAAACTTCTGGAGTTTTGGCACTTATGGATAAAGATGCACCAAATTGCATTTGTGACATGGGAAGCATTGGCAAATTGTGTGAAACGAACGGGTCATCATGTGACACTTTTACAAAGAACTGCGTACCTGCTCCTGCTGGTGAGCTCCTTAGTCAGCACAATCCAACATGCAATTCGAAGCAATATTCAGGTGGCTTACGGTGTTGTAAACATAAGCGCATAATGCTTGACGCGGATCAGCCAATACGACCAGAACTATTGAGATACCATATGAAGTTCCGATTCTGGTTTCAGGTTTACGAAGCAGAGGGTGAACAAGTTTCTCATTATGATCTTCCACGTATATATTATCAGACTGAAGCCTGGGCTGGCGAGTACGATATTCCACCAGCGTTTGCTCTGCCAGGTAAACCTATACCAGGTTATCCTAACTGGCCAGAAAAAACTCCTACCCCCGGAACCACGTGCACCGGAAATTGTCCAGATGGCGATGACTGCGAATGTGTTCATACTATTGTATTTAAATGGACTGTTAGCAATATGCGGCTAATATACGCCGGTGGACATTGTCATGCTCCTGCTTGTATCTCTATGGAGTTGTACAGAAACGATACAGGACATAATATGGAGTTGCTATGTCGACAAATTCCAGTTTTCGGAAAGGGTAACGTAACCCACGACAGGTTTGATGAGACTGGCTACATTGCTCTCCCACCTTGTCTATGGGGTAACGATAAAGGACTGAACCCATCATTGTTGCTGCCTCCAAATACACCGTTGGTGTCGATAAAACACAACCGGAACACACATATGGGTCATTACGGTGAAATGGCATCCTGGCAGATGAGAGGTGTTAATTTTTGATTAAACACTCTATAACATGTTCTTGACGAATCATGACAACAAGAATTATAAGCTATACTGTAGTGTAGATAGGATATTACAAACACAACTACTTTTATATACAATATTGTTTAAAATGCAAAGAATCTGAATCAACTCGTCTTTTTTATACCTTTTAATGTAGATGTATTTTGCAAACATTATGAGATCGTCTAAAATATTTCTATTTCGTACATAAACATCACGTTTCATTTCCTTCCTTGTGGGCTATTTAAAAAAAGAAATTGAATACCACTCTACGTATATTTCGAAGTAATGGCATCATATGAAATTAAATGTAGATATTTGCTTTCAAATTCTTGTTATTATTTCAATATAAGTAAGCTATAGATTTTGTCTATGCCTTTTAAGTTAAAACTAGAAATGTGTCCATAGGACACGGGTGCCCCCGCATCCCACTGCTTTGTAAAGCGTATTATTCTAGGTCAAATATTTTTTGGGCTACATATGCCACAAGTTGAAAACTAAAAATCTTTTATTAAGGGCAAGAACTTTACAAATACTGAATGAATCCACAAGCAAACCCTAAAGTAAGTACACATGCTGACCAACATTCTTGTAAATTTTCAGGCCTACAGGGCAAATACTTTTTGAGCTATGCATAAACAAGTTGAAAATTGCAAATTTTTATTAAGTCAAGGGCAATAACTCTACCAATACTGTAAAAAATCACATGCAAAATCCCAGGTGCATAGCTATGGCTCCACAGTGATGTTGATTATTATTCCTGTAAAGTTGGTTGATTCTAACTCAAGCACTCAAGGAACAAATTTCACAACATAATGAAACAGTTTTTACTAAGTCAAGGGCAATAACTCTACAAATACTGGATAAATCCACAAGCTAAATCTAATGTGCACAACTACACATGCTGACCAACATTTCTGGTAAGTTTCATGACTCTAGTTTAAAAATATTTTGAGCTACGCACGACGCAAATTGACAATTGAAAATTTTCACTAAGTCAAGGGCAATAACTCTGACAAACATATAAATTCACAAGCACAACCTCCAGATGCACAACTTCACATGCTGAGTATACTAAAAAAGTCAATGCGAACATACTCAGGTGCACACTTTCACTTGCTGAGCAACATTCCTGTAAAGTTTCATGACTCTAGATCAAGTTCTTTTTGACTTACGTGCGACGCAAGTTGAAAATTGCAAATGTTTACTAAGTCAAGGGCAATAACTCTAAAAATACTAAATAAATCCACACAAAAATGCCCATTCCTGTAAAGTCTCATGACTCTTGGTCAAATACTTTTGTCTAACGTGCGACACAAATTGAAAATTGCAAATTTTTACTAATTCAAGGGCAATAACTCTAAAAATACTAAATAAATCCACACGAAAATACCTAAATGCACAATTTTACATGCTGAGCAACAATCCTGTGAGGTTTCATGACTCTAGGTCGAATACTTTTAGAGCTAAGTTTAACACAAAATGTAAACGGACGGACGGACAAACGGACAAGGGTAAATCTAAATGACCCCACCCCCCAAAGAGGGGGCACAAAAGGTATTAACATAAATCAATTAGAACTTTCTCTGAGAATTACAAACTTTCAAATGATTTTCTTTTCCTTGTTTGTCATAAATTATAAAAGCAACATGTACGCATACCAGAAGATAACGCTGGTTATATATCATGTCATATAAATATAACGCATTTAGACCTTACAACAGAGTTCCTTTCTTTTAATACATTTATAATCAATTACTTTAGATGGATAAGATAGGTGAAAATCTAAAATTTTGTCCATAAAATTTTGATCAATATCAAATATGATCTTTTCGTATTCATACAGTTTTATTATTGTTTTAAGTTAATGTATTAATGATTATTTATCAATACCTTTACCCTTCACCACAGTGTGAGGAACTTTGAATTCTCCTTAAGTTTTGTAAAATAGCTATCCAGGCTAGTGGCTATACTCAGGTGACCAGTTATGACGGCAAAAAAAGAAGAATGGCACCTGAGATCTGCCTTCGTGAGCAATAGCAAAATGGTTGCCAAAAGAAAATTTGTGTGACGGTGTGACTTTGAACGAAGCAAACAATATCTAATTTAGTCACATTTTAATCATTTTTAATCATTTTAAAAGCAGAGGCCGATTTTATATCTAATGAACTGTCCTCAACGTGCTTGAACGTTACAATATCAAATATACGAACAAGCGAGGTTTTACGCCAGCGGTAAAAGGCTGCAAAAAACTGTTGTAATACCACAGTAGTGCACTGCATAATTAGAACAGCCTTGGCGTGTATGAGTTGTAAAAATTGACGTTTGTTAGGAAGCATTGTACGATAAGTTAATTCTGTATCGTCTGTACTCGTTTTATAATGTGATAGGACGGTTACGTTTAAGCCAATGGCGTAGGAAAAGCTTACACTTTTTTGTGTCCCTTAGAGACTTAATAATATACAGACAATGTTGATACGCGCTTTTGGTCGATTATGCCTTGTACATTCATCAAGTACACACCGATTAAACAATATATGAACATTTAATAATCAAGGTTCTATATTTTAAGAATAAAGGCCTTAATTTGAGCAAAAACATCAATACAAGTTTCGGGCATTTATGAAAGATTTAGCACTTCGCCGCTATCTTTATAAAATTGTTAACAACGTCATCACGAGATTGACCTTCAGTGGATTAACGGTCAATGGTCTAAGACGGTTTAGAAGTTGCGTTTTTATCCAGTATTTTTTTTGAAAACAAAATGATTTTTTTTCTGAGAATATGAAAACCTATTTTGTTTTATTTTCTATTTGTATAATATTTGATCATATAGAGCGCAAAAAAATGAAAATGTCACAACATCTCGCGAGTCTTTTAAGTGATGTGGTGAACTTAAGTCATTTTGACTGCTGTATTGCAGAGAAATAAGCTAAAATGTTTCCTATATTAATATTTTGGTATATATCATGTTAATTTATCCCTCGATCCAAAACTACACACGATTTATTTATCGGTAATTCAAAAGAAAATTTTGAAGGTTATTACGCAAGGAAAAGGCCCCGATATTTATTATTATTGTTATTTGGGGGGTTAGGAATGACGAAATTTTCTTCACTGTATATTTTTAAATCGTTTGAATATTTCGCAAGCGTTCTCATAGAGACGGAACCCTTCTGAAACAGATACTTTATTACTTTGAATTGGTACAAAACTGTTGTGTTACTACTTCATGATACATAATTAAGCTGTATGTGAAATTAACATGCGCGCGATAGAGCATATAATTACCGGAATTGATGTAATGCACAGTGCTTCATGGTAAAAAAGACGCTGTGTACTTAAAATTGATTAAGAAGTGATACAGTACATTGTATTTGTGGCGGATTTTACACCTATTTAAAACTTTAAGCTCTTACGCAAGGTAAATGTGCGCGTGAAACCCCAGTGGTAAGGTCGCTTTTTCAGCAGGCAATTTGTTCTTTCAGTAAAATATAACGTCTAAAATGTTTTGTAATAAACTCCATTTCTGTAGCCAATAATGGTAGTAAAGTAATGAGCATTTCATTTATCTGATTCTGTTGCATTAGCTTGGAAATAAGTTTTTACAGCAGCATTAGGAATAAAGGTCTAATCCATAGAAAATAGCATCAAGAGGCCCGCGTGGCATGGTATCTTTTTATTTATTTATTTTTTATCCTCGATTTGTTTTTTCCTGTATATACAGTAGGAATTGTCGTACAAAACATCATAATCTGATACAAACTGTTAAAACATTATTTGCCAAGAACTGTATCAGCCCTTGTAAATTTAGGAAGTTCACCTTAACTTCAATATCATGAATATGGTTTTTACCAAAAGGAAACGGCCTCGAGAAACCCGTATTGAATGCCTCTTTGGAGTATTATGATTATTATTAGTAGTAGTATTATCATTATTATTATTATTATTATTATTATTATTATTATTATTACCTATCGGAGATTTGCTTTTCTTATCTGAGATTTGTGATTTAATGCACACAAGACTTAGTGTAGGAATTTTCACTATTTTCTAAACTAACCGTTAGAACGCCATTCGCCTGATTCGGTTACAGATTAGTTTGGTATCAATATAAGACAAACAGCTATATGCCCAAAGAAATGGTACGAAACAGTGGTCTTACAACTGTGTTAAAAATGGTAAGTAAATGGTTTGTGACATAAACGCGCTCAGAGCACTTTATTCGTCTGCAAAACAGCCTAGTATTTTATAAATTTGAAAAGGTTGCATGATTTACTGCGGAATGACACGATTAATTTCGCAGTTTTAAAAACTGTTGCAAAGTAAATAAAAAATTCACATGCATAAATCTGTTGTAACAAACGTTTTTGATAAGTGATTTTAATTTCCTCGTTATTTTCTATTTCCTTGAAACATGTTGTTGTGATACAGAACAATAATTGTTAGGTTAGATAAAATACAAATCATTCGACTGGACAAGAAGAAGTACATATAAATGGAAATGATTTTAACGGGATAGAGCGTTATTTATTCATTGCATGGGAGTTTTAAATAAAAATCTGTATTAAGCTGTCAATCAACACAAATTGACTGTCAGTTTAGATGAACAGTATTCTTTGAGGATGAGACATATCCTTGACATATGTTATTATCAAACTGCAATCTAATCTTGATGTATAAACATTTTTAGAATACCTAGCGCCGTTCTGTTGTTGTGCCATAGCGAATGTAATTAAAGCATGTAAAGGAAAACGAAATGTCACGCGAAATATAGTTGTCCAACTTTATAATATGTAGATTACATGTTACTTTGCTGATTCAATTTCAGTTTTTCTTGTCTAGCCAGACGGAATAATAATTGTGTTAGCAAACGTTATATATTAGTATTATATGAAAGCACTATAAATAGTTTGTTAAATCCATTTAGCTTTTTTTCCCAGTACACAATAGATTTTTTCCCATCAATACTTTAGTAGGCGCGGATTTTTAACAATGATGCCACAAAGATACAATAAGCGGTAATGGATATGCAAGAAGATGTTTGGCATTGTACTTGTTTTGTTGATATTATATAAGTTTGTGTGTGATTTTCACTGAACGAATGTACAAATCTCAGAGGAAATTCACTTCCTTGTCAGAGCCTAAGAGAGTCATATGACACCCTAACACATATTCCCCCGCTACAAACAAAGCAAGTTTTTTAAATGGTTAATATTGTGTAAAGATTGAGAAAGAAAACCTTAGTTGAGTATAGAAAAACCAGTAACTGTGATTACTGAATGCCAAAACCAGTTGTAGCGCTCCTCTAATAGAATGGATTTTACTC